GTTGTTTTTTTAGAGGTCATAATATAGCAAAGGACCCCACTGGGGATGTGAAACCCGGTACTATCTATACCTTGTAAAGCCACCGGATCTGGCTGAGAAGTATCCCATGTTGGGTGTATTTTATTTTATTTTATCTTATTTTATGTTATTATCTTTACTTTCTGTACTGGTGTACTTTGATATTTTGTTAATCTTTCTGCCAAAACAATAATAAAAAAAAAATTGTAATATAAAAGGAGAACTATGAGGTGAGTGATTTTCACTCATCCTCATAGTTTGAGCCGACGTGTGACAATGAAACTGTCACATGTCGGCTCAATAGATCGGGAAGTGAGTGAACACATACCGTCGCTCGCTCACTTCTTGATCATCTCCCCGCAGAGAGCAGGGACTGTCAGTCACGGCTCCCTGCAGAATTTCCCTCCCTCCATGCTCCGATCCTCCAGCCTTGACTAGAGGAACAGGGGAGGGGGTGGGCACAGCTGGCTCTGCCTCTAGATAGGCAGAGCCAGCTGTCACTCACGCAGCTGGGTGGATCTCGACAGTAACGTCGGGATCCGTCCCGGCTGCAGCGGTCTCAGTATACCGCGAGCTGTAGCTCGCGGTATACTGAGCTTTTGATCCCCGGGGGATGCTAGTATATGTCCTCCCGTGACCCTTAAGAGAACTATGGGGAAAAACACTTACCCCAAATTTTTCTTTTCAGTTAGGTTTGTTTTGCTGACTAGCTGGAGACTGTGTTGGGGAACTTTGTTTCTATTGTTTTGTATATGGCCCGCCCATGTGCACTTTTCCTGGTTTTCCTAGTCCTGAATTGATCAGGAAGCCATTTAGTTGCTTTGGTGGCTTTGAGAGAATGGCCCCTACAGTATATTAAGCTCTTGTAGAAGAAAGCAAAGACAAAAACTACTGTACTGCTGAAAAATGTTGTCATTGGAGCCCCCAAGATATATAAAAAAACAATATTTGTTAAATTGACCATTGCATGCTCAGAAACGGAAAAATTAGAATGGCCTGAAAAAAAAGACACACTAAGCCCTTTCTACTGATTAACTTGCTTATTTACTTCTAGGCAGCTTGTGAAGGCAACATACAGTCTGATCATGTTTCAGTAACCACTGTATCACCAACTGAAGGCAACAATGTGGAAGATTACACAGAGTAAGTGGTCATATGTCCATCTACTTGCAGTTCAGAGGCATGCCACTTTCAGTTAATTGGTCATCAAGCTTGTGAGCTAGTTTAGCAGGAAGTAGAATGCCATCTTACTCTTTCATTCTTACTTTCCTCTGTACAGGCTTCTGCATCGAGTCAGTACAGAACTGGCAGAGTGGTATTTCCAGGATGGGCGGGCTGTACTTGCAGCATGCTGTCACCTGGCAGTAGACAACATTGAGGTGAGCCTGGAGAAGGAGAAGTGAACAATCTAGGACAAAATAGCTGATTTGGAAAAATTCTCCTATTCAGCTCACTTTCCAGTTCAGCGATGTTGGCCTAGATTGTTCACTTCTCCTGCCTTTTCCAAACTCTTCACCCCTTAGGGAATAACTATGTTAGTGTGCTTTGCCTGTAACTTTTCCTGTAACTAGATTATTTCATTAGCATTTCCTGTTAACTTATTAAAATAGCAGTAGACCACAGTTAAAAATTGTTATTCCAGTGATGCATGAAGTGCTTGATACGCCCTATAATTAAAATACGAAGATAAAAACTTTCACCATCCTTAAATTCTACTACTGAATATAGTCTGTAATCATATACAAAAGACATTCTAGTAAAGCCAATGTATTTGTATTTTACTTAAGTAAAATGTATACAATGTATTTGTATTTTATTTAAGCTGGCCATGGCCAACCTCATTCGTGGCAATGAGCTGGAGCTGGCGGTATGTGTCGGCACGGTCCTCGGAGAGAGTGCTGCTCGAGCAACTCAATATGCACTGGAACTGCTGGCAAGAAAATGCATGACAGTGACAACATGGTGTGTATAGCCCTACATTGCATGTAATTATTCAAGCTGTGTAATGAGTACAAGCATTTGTTTTGTGAAAGAGGCCAATAAAAGCTATTACATTCACAATGGGTCATATTTATCAAGCGTGATATTGTGAGTATTACCCATTTTTCAATGGCATTTACATTTTGATCCCTTCATTTAATGTTTTAAGATGTGTAAAACTGCAATTTTGAAATCAATAGTGCTAACTTTAGTTTCAGAAGTTTCTCACTTAGACCTTTGTCAATTTCTACATTTTTTTAACTACCGGAGGAGTTTAAACATAGGACATATGTCCTACAAAAAAATCAACAAAGTTTCTAGGGCATATTTCCTACCTCTCACCCTGCCGCCGATTCTTCCACCCATGTTAACGTCAATTACCGGCTGTCAAAATGACAGGCATGAATTGCTATGTAGTACATAGCAAGAGCTGTCACAATGAATTGGTGCTGACACTGTCCTTCCTTCTGGAGAGTGGCTACTTTTGTTCCCCATGGTCCATGTGTGTGTTGTAAATTAGTCACCACTCCAAGCTCGCTCCTGTGATGGACTACAATCTCATAACAAATTAGTAAACTAAACATGAGATTGTAGTCCATCACAGGAGCGAGCTTAGAGTGGTGAATACTTTACAGCATACACAGAGACCATGGGGAACAGAAGTAGCCACCCTCCAGATGGAAGGACAGTGTCAGCATGAATTCAGAGATGATTTGGGGATCTACAGCTGAGTGATACACAAATAAGATACATTTTGTTATTAGTTAAAGTACTTGAATGCATTTTTAAGATTTAACTCCGGAGTTAAGTGTCTTAAATTAATTAGTGTCTTAAATTGTCTTAAAACTTTAATTAATCCTAGTCAGCACTAATTACCTCCTTTCTCCCCTTAGCTATATCTTTTTCGGCTGATTTTTGTATTTCTTTTTTTTACCATTAATAATATTATTTTTCTTTTCATTTAGCTGTTCATTATTTTCAAAGTCGTATTAAAAAAATAAACAAAATAATATTTTAGTGCCGTTTTAAAATGGGCATATTATAGATTTACATGTATCCAATTAAATCATCTTAAATAATGACTAAGATATTGCTGAATAAACAAGCCCATAGTGAAAATGTAAAAGTTGCTCTGGTCCATAATAGGTACAAAGGTATGAAAACTGCAGTGGTTAACATCTTTGTACATAAAAATAAAATAAGATGATTCTTGAAAATGGCAATATGATATTCACATATGATTAAACATAAGATTGCATGTATCTTATGAATGGAGTTGGTGAATATTGTTGCCAGGGGAATTTTGGTGACACACATGGGGGTCTATTCACAAAGCTGCCGAAGGATCTGGCCATAGCTTCGGCCGATCCTTCGGCTGGCTTCGGCCCCAGGACCCCTTCGGTTCAGGAGAACCGAGGGGGTGCTGTACGGGCTATTCTTACGGCTGGCTCCGGCCACTTTCAGAGGGATCAGCGTCCCTGGTTGCTAACCAGGGTTGATCTCCAAACATCTCACTCTCCCTGGCGCCCCGGGAGTCTCCTGCTCCCGGCCACCAAGGAGAAAAACCCCATTTTTTTCTCCATTACTTCACCAAACTACAATGAAAAATCACTTTAATGGCTTAAACTCTCCTCTTTGATAACTCTAAAAAAAAGTGCTCATAGTAAGTACAATTAAGCAAGGTTTGGTAAAACAAAATAGTTTTTTTTTTAGCTTTAAAAGGGAAATTTTATTTTTAGTATACATATCCATCCCTTTCCTCTAACATTTCAGCAATAGCGTGTAATTACCTACATGATTGCTGTCCAGATACGTTCTTTGTGTGCCTATCCCAGCTTGGCACAGCCTCTGGCTGAAATATTCCAGCCTGTACTTGGGCGCGCGTGATGTGATCTCCCTTCACTTTAAGCCCTCGTTCACACCTGAACGTTTTGTAGCGCGTTCTACGCTCGACGAACGCTCTACAAAACGCTCAAAAATATAAATCCCATTGTATTCAATGGTCTCGTTCCCAACTTGGCATATTTCCGACCATCCCTAACACGCTACAAAACGGCCCACGCCTGAAAAGGTACATGTACTACTTTGGGCCGTTTTGTTGCGCGTTTCCATTGGGATACAGCCAAGTAGCCTTCGGAAACGCGCGACGGTCGCGCAACCTTTTTACCGCAAATCGAGGTAAAAAAACGGTCGCGCGACAGACGCGCATATGCAATACTCCTAGGTGTGAACGAGACCTTATTCACTATAAGCTGTGGACAGTTTTTCATACAGATCGGAGGATTTTGGAAGATGTCAGCCAAAGGCTGTGTGGTGCTGGACAGGCCATACAGTAGAGATCTTCGGGACTGCAGTGCTCTATGTGCTCTGTCTCTCTCTCTCTCTCTCTCTCTCTCTCTCTCTCTCTCTTTCTCTCTCTCATTTTATGTTTACTACAACTTTGTCAGACCTTTGGCAATTCTAATTGATGCCCTGTAGTACCATCGTGTACCGTTAGATGTTGCTGCTGCTCCATATTTAAGCTTCTTATTTGACTCATGTTTATTTGTCAGGAGAGAAATATAAGAGCGGCCAATGCTTCTTTAGAATGCATCTGTAGAGCTGTCATCTTTATTCTTCTTTCAATATTCAACGAGTCACAAACGTATCTACATATTAGGTATCCTGACTACTAACGCCAGTATGCTTGATCCAACTCAGTGACTTGCCAGTAATAAAGGATGAGGATGACAGCTCCAAGTCAAGTGCAAGTTAACATTGGAAGCTTAGCAAGTGCAAGTTACCATTGGCTCCTGCTTTTCTATCTGAAGAGGCTCCTTTTAATACCAGTCTCAGTATCTTGCTGGTTGGCCCCGCTGGCTCTTGACATACCTGAACATTGCCTGCAACCAATCAGATTGTTCAGGTATTTTGAGAGCCAGCAGGGCCAACCAGCAAGATACTGAAGCTTGGCCCAGTGGGAAGTTCCTCCATCCACACAGTTTAGCGTAGATGGAGGAATCTGTTGCACTTTTTCCATCTGACCATAGAAAATCTGCAGATAATCTATAGGTGTATGGCCAGCTTAAGTCAGAGTCCATCAGCTGCAGTCAGACTTATCACTCATCATTTTGGCGATTAAAAACAGAGAATAAAATAATGAGTGTTAAAAACAGGAACAATGACATCTCCTGGTTTACTGAAGACAAAAGGCTGAACAACAGTGTCACATATTCTAAACAAAGCAATATAATGCCAATTTCTGAGATATACTCTATATAATATATTGTATTTACATATAATGTTAATGTTTTATTTGATTTATTTATTGGAAATTGGGATTGAATTGCTTTGTTTATCCTATGTGATCTTTCCTTTATACATTAGTCCATATGTCTAATGAACATTTTGTATTTATTCATATACAGTACTGTACAAGGCAGCTTTATTCATGAATACCATACATGCATTGTTTCATATATTGCTTGTGTGAAGAGTGAAGTTTTTTTAATTACAGTGTGCATGCATTATCTTACATGTACACATAGAATGGACTGGATGGTCCAGTGCTTACTCCAGCCTAATCCACTGTATACAGTATGTAACAATGTAAATAACCTTGTGATTCTGTGATGCTGTACAGAGGATGAGACTGCTAATACAGTACATGTGTGTGACATTCTTTCTATAAATAGTTGTGTTGAGGAATGCTGTGTTGTAAACCATGCCTCTGCTACAGTCTATGTGAGCATTGGTTATTTTTTACAGGGATTTGGCAGCAGATCTCCTCAGAATGATACCTGATAATGAGCTCTTCTTAGTCAAGCTGTGCGCTTTCTACCCAGGATGCACTGCAGAGATTAACGACCTTCACGGCAAAGTATGTTTCCGAAAGATATTGTCCTGGGGTTTGTTTCTCATATATTGTTAAAAAAAGAGATATCAGGGTATGGTGCATTGATTATTATTTTAATAATCAGAAGAGTGAGGCATGGTGTGCCTGAAAGAGCTGGAAAGCAGATTTGTTCATTGCAGGGTAACAACACATTTAACCCTTTCGCTGCCAAGGACGTACGTCGTACGGAGCTACAAAAGTGCTTCCAGCTGGCCAGCTCAGTACGTCGTACGGACCTGGCATTTACAGTTCTACTATAAGCTGATGGTCGCTTTAGCGACCATCAGCTTATAGTAGAACTGTTCAGCAGACTGTCCCCTTTAAATTAATAGCTGTCATCAGCGGCTCACAAGCCGCTGATGACCGCTAATTTTAAAAATACCGGGCGCCCCCAGCTCCAGTTTTGACAAATTCCCCCAGTGCGTCCACATGGGGGAGATTTACAAAAGAGTGGAGCTTTGTTGAAGCATCAAATGATAGTCTGTCTCATATGTAGTAGTAAAAGGGGGAGCTGAGACATTTAGCTCATTACACCTTTTCTTCACAAAGTGCCTCGTAGCCAGTGGCAGGTGACATAAAAGCTCCTCTATTAACCATTTTCTGTCAACAAGCTGTACAGGGCATCTTGCTGGGGATAAGTTAAGACAGGTCCTGTCTTGGAAGCCCCTTATCGATACTTTATGGTGGCTGGTTGCTGTTAACCCTTTCGCTGCCAAGCCCTCCGGAACATTTTTCAAATCAGCTGGCCAAGCCATTTTTGAATTTTCTGCAATTTTTTCCTATTGATTTGATTTTCAACTGCTGCGTTACTAGCGTTTGCGTGACAATGCGTCACAAAGCTTTGCCATGCGCTGCCACAGTTAATTAAATTTTTTTTCAAGAAAAAAATACATAAAAAAAATCATGCACTGCGATGCGTTCTAACAACGCACTGCAGCGCATGTGCATGGCGTACACCTCAATATGTGTATGTTATGTGGGGGGGAGGAGGGGTTGTGCTAGGGGGCGCCCGGTATTTTTTAAAATAGCGGTCATCAGCGGCTTGTGAGCCGCTGATGACAGCTATAAATTTAAAGGGGACAGTCTGCTGAACAGTTCTACTATAAGCTGATGGTCGCTAAAGCGACCATCAGCTTATAGTAGAACTGTAAATGCCAGGTCCGTACGGCGTACTGAGCTGGCCAGCTGGAAGCACTTTTGTAGCTCCGTACGACGTACGTCCTTGGCAGCGAAAGGGTTAAAACTGGTTGTTCTTGACAACTCTGGCACCCACTACGATCAGGAAAAAATCAGGGTGGATCTTGAACCCATGATCACTATTTTGGCTATGACATAGCGATCACATGCAGGCTAGAAGCTTCATTGACAAAGTAAGCCATTAGGCTGCAGATGCTACTTCAGACTGATGGTGGCAATGCTAATCTGTTTATTACAGTAATTGCCAGATACAGTTATCATATATATCTAAAAAAAAAAATGAATGTATTAAAAAATGGAAGTTTGTTTTACATTTTTGCACATTTGTCAGCCTATAATAAAAATAGAGCATGTTTCGAAAAAAGCACATGTCCATAAAATTATTTAGGTAAGCAAATTAGTCATAGAGGCATTATCAATTTACATGATGCATTCTGAGGCTGCTAAATTTGGTCAGGCCATCTAGCTAGCAGTGTTTACTGGTTATGGGTTATGTCTGTTTATACGTACAATGCCTAAGGCTGCTTTTCCCATGTTTGACCATTTTAAAAACTTTATCTGGTCATATAGTCATTTCTGTGCTCTTTTCTACAGTCACGTTACACCCTCTATGGCCAATTCTCAGCATGTCTTTGGGTGCAGGTAGACACCCACTAACCAACTACTCCCATAGGGGGTGGGGTGAATTAGATGGATAGGTCAGAAAATATGTTCTAATCATTTTTGTCATCCCCCTGCCAAAGGTAAGAAAGAAACTTTCCTCCTTCTCCCTATAGCCTTTCCACAGGAATACAAATCAAGGTGCCTGAGTAGTTCCGGCACATGTAACAGCCATATATTTTGCTCTCAGACACACCCCAGCATTGTAATAATGATCACACGCTAAGGAGATAAATGAAAGAGCTCTGGGAATTTCCTTTTTATATTTATTGATAATAATTATTATTGCATTGCCAGTTACAGTAAATACATTTTTATTCAGTCTGAGCTTTTTATATGTCTTTCAAGCTGGTATATTTACTACTATTGCTATTAATATTTCTAATAACTAACTAGCATTAGTGCAGTCCATGTATCCATTTCTTGGTGTGGGTGCCCTGATTTGGAGCCTCTTGTACCTGAAGCATCCTTCTTTTGCTAATACGTGCTTGAACTGTTGGTGATGCCTGTATACTGTATATTATAATATTATCAGCGGCAACCACATGCTGTGGTTAGATTAGCGCTGCAGCACACTCTTTATATTCCCCCTTTATCATTTTTCTGCATCTTGCTTTACAGTGTAACTTGCCGTGTGTGGAGGAGTGTGTACAGATGGCAGAGACCTGTTATGCAGACGGAGACATCTTCCAAGCTGTCAAATACTACTTGCTGAGTTCGGAACCAGAAAAGGCCCTGCCGATTGGCATCAGTTTTGTAAAAGGTACAGATGCTATATCAGTGATGTAAAATAAGAAAACTATAACACTATTGGAAACACTAATAACATCGTCCCCATTTGAGTCCATATGGCTATAGCATCTTAATACAGAATCTATGGAATCTATTTTTTTTTCTGCAAGCCCAGTTCCAGCCAAAACTTTGTTTTCTAGTTTTTGACAGAGTAGGGAAGGTGTACAACCCATTTTATTGGAGTATGCATCTCTATTGGAGATATTTGCCCTCACATCCCTTTGGGATTGTAACAACTCCCTTTTTTCAGTTATTATTACTGTATGTGACTTGCTGCCCTGGTCCTCAGTTTGCCAGAAGGACAGGAAGTGAGGTGAAGTCTCCCCAATGAGGCTACATACAGAAAAAAGAAATGACATTAAGTATTTATTTTAATGCGGCCATGTATGAAACTGAAAAAACAGTTTGGGCTGAAGTTGGGCTTTAGATTTGTTAATACACTCTAGCGAAATATGCCCATTCCTTAAGTTGTGCTTTATACTGTAGGTGCTAAGGTGAATAAAGGAAGAAGATACTCCTCCATACACAATATGAATGAATATCTAGATACATTTACATCAGTCCTATTGACATAACCGGTTTACACTATACTGTAATACAGATGTATCCACTGACAGGATGTAGGAAAATACCTACCCTCCTTCCATTGTTATGCCATTCCAAGGCAATGGGGTGTGGTGGGCAGTTCTCCTTATGTTCCCTCTTAGGCAAAGCTCAGTTCTAAACCACCAGTGCTACCGCTTCCCTTTCTTTGATTTAAAAAAAAATGTGGGGTCACATTTAATATCACATTTTTCCTTGTAGTGGGGTTGGCAGAAATAAGAGTTCCTTGTAGTGGGGGTGGCAGTGGTTATTGGTCTAGGAAGCTGAGGTTCCCTTTGCCCCTACTTGGCCTGCTATCTGTATTATTAAGTTATAGCTCATGAATTTATATAACCCTATAAATGACTATATTTGTTCATACAGTGATTGCTTTTTGTATGTTTCCTGCAGAACAAATCAGCAGCTCTGACTGGACCTTGGATTCTATTTGTCCAATCCTCAATCTTCTCAGTTACATCAGAACGGAGAGATTAGTACTTCATAAATGTAGTGAGTGAGTACTTTTGCTCCTCCTTCCTTCCTCTGTTCAAAGAATTTCTTATTATAAATGCCTTCTAAAGGATGCCAATTAGCTCTTGGAGGGAGGTAGACATGACTTGGATTTGTTAGAAATCTTGCCTTTATTGTTAATGCTCCCCCCTAAGATAAGCATCACAGGCAACATATAGATAGATTTTAGCCTCCCATAATCCCCTCCACAACAGCATTCAGGTTGGAGGAAAGAGGGTCAGCACTCTGAGACAATCAAGGCTTTTCCCCTTTGCAGTCTAAAGCTGGCCATCCACCTATAGATTATCTGCAGATTTTCTATGGTCAGATGGAAAAAGACAGATTCCTCCATCTATGCTAAACTGTGTGGATGGAGGAATCTCCCACTGGGCCAAGCTTCAGTATCTTGCTAGCTGTCCCTGCAGTCTCTCAAAATACCTGAACAATGTCTGCATCCAATCGGATTGTTCAGGTATTTTGACAGCCAGCGGGGCTGACAGAAAATCTATAGGTGTATGGCCAGCTTAACACTGAGAAGGGAAGAGCACATAAATGGGCTTAACAATGCTCTGCTGTTCCTTCATTGTCCTCAGGTTTGGCGTGGGATGTTGACCAAGTTGTGCTGCTCAACTGCATTGGAGATCATGGCCTTAGCCATGCTGTTTTGTAATGGTGCATGGATTGAGGGCAGGTTCACACCATTTTCCGGACCAGATTTGGTCCACAAAATGGTGTGTACCTGCCCGTAGTTCCAGTGCATTCCAGGCCAGACAAAATAGGACAAGCAGTATTTTTCTGGTCTGGAACAGACTGTGCTCGTGTGAAGAGAGGCCAGAAATAGCATAGAGATACATTAGGATGCATTTTTGGTCCGGAAACAATCTGGTCTGGTCTGGAGATGATCTGGATGTGGTGTGAATGGGCCCTGAATGTGGATGAATGGAATTATAAACATTTAGCATGTAAAACGTACCATTTTATGCCTATTTCAAATATATCTATTGTGCTTCTGTTACTATGGAATTTGATTTCCCTGACTTTTGAGGTAAGCCTTCTTCTTGTCTAGTAGGAGCGGCCACAATAGTCAAGGCAGGCCCTTTTATACATGAATGGTTGTCCATGCTGTCATGGGGCCTGAGGCCTTTAGGAGGGTTGAATACATTAAAGTCAACCTCTTGACAATTCAAACAGAGCATGCAATAAAAAAAATACAGTACATAAGCAGAGGTCATATGTGTTGAAACCATGAGTAGATCCAAAGATACAGTAAGTTGCAGTATTTTTTACAAATCTTCTCTTTTCCCATAAAAGCTGTATGTATCCCCCACTTCATTTTGAGGTGCCACGTCCCCTGAACCACATCTTTCTGAAATCTGTTGGACAGCTTCATTGACCAATAAGGTGGTTTGTGACAGTGGCTCGCAAAGGGAGCTGTAAAGTGGAACCTCTGACTGAAATGACTTGAGATTTATATGCTACACTAACTCTATTCCCCTCCACTGAAAGTAGTGAAAGGTGGTGCCCATTGTCATTTTGTATCCAATACTTGAGGTAACACTTATACAATGTAAGCTGGTTTATTCTGCGTGAGATATTAATGATTATTTTTTCTTGCAGAGTACGCAATGAGCTTCTCATAGTTTGTGGATACACTGGAGCTTTGCTAGCTATTAGAAGGCATTATACCAGCATTGTTCCTGCACTTTATGAATATACAAGGTAAGTCATTCTTAGTAATAAAGTGTAGAGATATGTTACTAGCACAAAACAAGTCCAAATCTGCAAGTTTATAACACACACACACACACACAAAAAAAACAGATTCAATCTCAGCAGTAGTAATCTATAAAAAAAAATGTACATTGTTTTTGATTTTCTTACTTGTACAATTGAGATGAAAGTTACGTGCTGATTGGTTGCAAACTGTGCACTTTCTACATGTTGCTAATTACAGACCAAAATATTGAGCATCTATCAGTCATTCACAGACCAGTTTGCCTAAAAATTTATATTTTACTATGGGATTGCATTGACTGTATTTTTATCAATGTGTCCAATATATATATATGGTACATACCGGAGTTACTTTAAAATGAACTCGGCATCATTTAAAAAAATAAATAAAACTGTTTATAGTACGCTGTAAGTTGGTAACACTGTAGTTTGGTACTCTTTATGGCTGTTACTGTTAGGTATTCCTTTTCATTTGTCACGGCTTTCTTTTCACAATACTATTTTCCAGTCAGCTTTTGAAACGTCGGGAAGTGTCTGTTCCCTTACAGATTGAGCAGCTCTCAGTGGAACTGGACGCATGGAGATCGTGTACCCTATCCACTAACAAGTAAGTGTCAGTATGTTCCGTAATAGAAGAAATACCCAAACTGCCGATTCAACACCAGTCATTTCCCCCCCCCCCCCAAAACGCATAGTAAATCGGGTGACATGATCACCACAGTTTCACATAGATAAATATAGAATGGTTAATGATAGGGTAAAGCTGGATTAAACTTTGTTTAAACAGTAAGTGTCCAGCATTCAAGAGAGCAAAGAGAGTCTACTCCACTTCTAATTTACTTACATTTTCTATTACTTTACTTATTCAAATGCTAAAAAAAACTGCCTGGCCCTCTCATTCTACATTGACTGGTTAACAATGGAGGCTCTGTGCTTGGCAACCATAATCTCTAACCAATTAAACATTTCATCCAATGTTTAACCAGTTGACATCCGCGGTGTTAAACCCCCTTCCCATCAGAATGATTGAGTCAGTTCCCATGCAGCCCCTCCCAACCCAATGAAACCAATGGATATGGGCCAGAACTTGTTAAAGCTGAAATGGCTGCACATCTGAGTTCTATAGTAGTGTCAGGGCTTCTCTTTGACACTATTTGATCAACTTGATTGGTGGAAGTCCGAGAACCCGACTAGTCTATACTGTTTTTGTTAAAAGTGGAAAACTCTTTTACGTTTTCGCATAGGATTGCCAAAGTCTAAATCTTCAGGACCAACCAGTTCATCACCTAACGCAGACTTCAGCTACTGAAAGCTATGTTGGAGTAGTTTCTGGCTGAGTATCTCCAAAGTCTCTGAAACATTAGACGTTGCTTTCTTACACTGATCAAACATGTAAAGCTCTGCCAGTCTGTATCTGTCACCATATTGACGGATCTTTCACCTGTAAAAGTAGAAAATACACTATAGGGACTGTTGTGTTACAAGAGTGTATACGTGAATGGATGCACACCATGTTTATATACTGTAACCATCTTTTTCTGCAATGTTTGTTATGTAGGTCAGGTGATGATCTTCCATACACACCCCCTACAGAGCTACAAAAAAAGATTTATTCAAGTATTGTGCAAAGAATAAAAGAAGAACCTCTTAAAGGATTAATTGGGCCAGACTATGTCACAGGATCCAATCTTCCAAGTCATTCTGATGTCCATGTATCCTGCTTAACAGGATTACGGATTCAGGTAAGATGTATTTCACTGATGTGCACAGACCATTGGAACATTGGCTAAATCTTTATCTTTGTTCAGTTTGGGCAAGGCAAGTTTCTTCAGTGGCCGTATCAAAAAGATCCACGCTCACTTCCTTCATTTTGCACTAGAACAGGAAGTGAGAGGAAAATCAAAAGCTTGTCACTTGTCACCAGAGCAGGAAGTGAAGAGAATTCTGCCTTGCAAGGTCAAAGCCATCAGCAAATTATCCAAACTTGTTTTTATTTTTTTGTGGAATCCATTTTATGTCAGATTAAGTAGTTTTATTTGTTTTTTATTAATATCAACTGTTATAATAAATGTAATACAAAAATAAATTACTGGCGCCAAAAAGTAACTGTTCCTGAGAATAACTCTAAAGACACGGGGGCAGCTCCTCACAGTCAGGGAAAACTGGATGTCTGATAGAAGAAAAGCAAAAGGAGCGCCGCCATAGTGTAAAACCGATTTATTAAAGTTCAAATAACAGCTAAAAAGGTACTTACAAACGCCCAATAAAAACAAGCATGGAAAGATGAGGTCTCAGGATAAACCAAGATGAACAAGCAAAATGAGGTAATGGAAGTGCTAGTGTTGAGCCAAAGCCGTCTTACACGCAAACCCTCCTCCAGTTGACGCGTTTCAGAGGCCAAGCCCCTTTTGTCAGAACCTTATTTTATAAATCTGTTAAGAAATATCTAGCAACATATTGAGAGCTAAGTATGCTTATAGTAAGTCATGGTTTTTAGGACTACATGCTGCATTCTGATCTTAGAACCCTCTGATTTGAAACTTGTCTTCAGACTGAAGTGTTACCTGTATCTGGTGGGATTGAATGCTGCTAAGAAGCATATGATTATGTCATTTCTATACTTATATCATGTGGTGTGGACATTTCTGGAGACAACCAACTCAAAATGCTATGGAGAGATGTGTTATCACCTGTGTTCTGGAATGTTCACAAACCTTTATAAAGTATTCCTTATTTTTTAATGACTAATAATATCTATGGGGCATGCTACACAGTTAATCATATGTTTGACAATGGTGAAATAATAAAACATTATAATATAAAATATTAATTCAACGCAGAAAACATAATTGCCAGACAAATAATGACCTTGGCTTAAAGCCATAGTTTTTTAAGGGAGCATTCTGAAATATAATGGAACATATGACTGCCGGCATTCTCTTTGAGTACCTCCAATTTCTCCGAGCCCTAATTATGGATATATTTGACCTTACATTCAGGTCAATGAAGGACTTCCTGGCTGCTTTCCAAGCAACTCCACTGCTTACCCATGTCATCTTGTCTTTTATTTTGTGCAGCAAGTACTTGGTTCTGTCAGTGTCATCCAGATAGTTCATTCAAAAAGTATATCACAGGCAGCCCAATTGTCGATCAGAATGACTGGGGACCTGGAAGAAGCAGCGGAGAATAAGTTGTGTAAGTTGTAAACTAGACACCGCTCCAAGCTCCCTCCCGTGATGGCTGACAATGTCATGTCTAGTGTAATAATGTGTTTTGAGATTGTAGTCTATCACAGGGGTGATCTTGGAGCCATGGGGGACCATGGGGAACAAAAATAGCCACCCTCCAGAAGGAAGGACAATGTTAGCACCAATTCAGAGATGATTTGAGGATCTACAGCCAAGTGATGAACAAATATGATCCTTTTTTGTAAATAGTTAAGGTACCTGACTTAAAACTATGAGTCAAGAAGCCTGACCCCTGCCAGCAGCTGTAGAGCGGACTCTTGATCTCTTTGCGGAAGAAGCAGTCTCATTGCAGGGGTCTAACACGTACCAAACTGGGTCAGAGCTCTCTAATCAGCAAAGCTCATGGTCCTCAATAACTGGAGAGCTCTAGGTCTGACACGAAAGGGAACATGTCAGACCTCGGCACTCACTTTCCTAGAATGTATTTAGCTCATTAAAACTAGAGGGTCAGTTGGGCTTTAAGGTAAGATTTTCTTGTTCCTTGCCTTACATGTGTTTTAGGCATCTGTGCTCCACCATTGAATAGCTGAAGTCTGCGTAGTGTTGTCATTTATTGAAATGCTTTTTGTGTCTCACAGGGACCTGTATTCTTCCTAGAAGATGGCAAGTCTGCAATATCATTGAATGATGCTTTAATGTGGGCAAAGGTCAACCCATTCTCACCTCTAGGAACAGGAATAAGACTCAACCCATTCTAACAAGCACAAAGAGGAGACAAGTACTTTACAGCAGGATAACATACCAGTGGGAATAGGACTACATGATGCTGAAATAAGACTTTCATTTCTTTCTTTCTTTTCTCTGCGGACAAAGCAGAGATTTCATATGCAGCTAATTCCAGTTTGTGTTTGGTAATGGTCAAGTCAAATCTGTGTATATAGTCAGAGAGAGAGTTTGTAGTTTGACTAGCCAAAGACCAACATTTCCTGTCAATCTGTTTACACTTTACTTTATGCAGATTACCACATCATACATCGCGGCGGTACTGAGTTTCTATGTCACGTAAAAGTTGGTACCTTACGTCTGAACTCACTGCAAGCTCCTTCGTGGTTCCATTAGCGCTGTACATAGGCCAAGAAATAAAGCTGTGAAATTTATGACCATTTTTAAGTAATGTAAAGATTTAGCACACAACTTTGTACTGTAACTTCTACTGTGTGTAGTATACCACTAATTGTAAAAATATACATGAATGAAGACAGATGGTTGATCATATACATCCCCTTCCATGTATTGTTTATACAGATGTTCTATTTACAGAATAAAGTTAAAGTAAATGTATTTGGGGTATAAATTGTTTTAACCACTTGAAGTCCGGGGTGTTAAACCCCCTTCCTGACCAGGCCGTTTTTCAGTATTCAGCGCTGCGGTAGTTTGACTGAAATTTATTCTGTCATGCAGCGCTGTACTGAAATTAATTTTATATCATTTTTTAGGGACAGATAGAGCTTTCTTTTGGTGGCATTTAATCACCACTGCGGGTTTAATTTTTTACTATATTAAGGAAAATTTACAGACAATTTAAAAAAAAACCAACAGTTTCCCCTATATTAAATGATAAAACATTTATTATTACCCAATTTTTTGGTAAAATATAAAAGACGCGGTCACGTCGGGTAAAAAGACACCAAACATGTCAAGCCTTAAAATTGCGCACGCACGCGAAACCTCAAAAAACTACATTGCCCTTAATTGGCCATAGGCGACGCTTTAAAAGCTTTTACTGCTCATCAGTTTAGTGTTATCAGTGATTGATGGCCCTAAAATGATTGCTCTCACTCCGAATTTCGCGGCGATATATAACATGTGTAGCGCAATTGTCGTTTTTTTCGCGTGCTGACGCATCTGACGCACATTTACGTTTATATGTGCGTAAACAAAGGGGGGGCCTAAACATTTTGGGGGGGGGGTTACTTTTTTTATTTGTGACTTTTTTTTAAACTTTATATATATTTTTTTTACACTTATTGTTATTCCTATTACGCAGGGGGATAACGCGATGGCGCGACAAAATCGCGCCATACAACCGATCGGCGGCTATAGAGCCGCTGATCGGTTGTATGTGAAACAGTCGTTAACGGCTGTAAAAACGAGCGGGTCTTTCCTGCCCGAGCAGGAAAAAATGGCGCCTGAAGACGGCAACACGCTGATGCGAGTCTGCCGTCCGTTTTTTCTTAACGGGCGGACAGCAGGAGGTTAAAGTACAACTGCCATGAAGGCTATACAGTATGTAGGATGCCATTGCATATCATTTGGAAACTATTAGTTGCCTACCTGTCATGCTGCTGACCCTCTGGCACTGACTTGGAACAAGTATGAAGATCAAAGAGCAAGGCAACTTGCATTTGCCAAGTCATCTTCCAGAACAGCATCTGAGAGATAGTCTCCTCCCACCTGAAACAGGAAACACATCATCCACACCAACTAAAAAGCGATCAGTACTAGCATGCCTCAGTTATTTGTGTTTCCTCCGGCCTAACAGGAGCATCGCAATGTTTATTTTCTGTATAGGCCTGCGTGCTAGTTGCGGGGGCCTGCTGCCAATGTTTCCCGGTCAGCAGGGTCAGCGATCCTGGGGAATATGGAGGCAGTTCCCATCCTGCCCTATCTGAGGATCTATGGCCCTGAGGTTCCCCTCTTTTAAGCGTGGCAACCATCCTCCTGGATGCAACGACTCCAGCTGAGTTTTTTCCCCACCCAACCTGCGGATGTCCTGTTTTCTACCTGGAGCCACCCTTCTGGACATAGATGCAGGCTACGGCTAGGGGTGCCCCACCCCCGATTTCCGCCCTGGCGGTATTCCTGAGTCTGGCTTGGGGTTAAATTTTCAGTACCAAGAGCGGTAACCCCGAGCCACACTCGGGATTGCGCAAAAGTGTCACTTACCTTGTCCCTGCGAGCCCGCAGTGTCCTCTGCTGTGTGCGCCCGGCCGATGCCGGCATTCGGCTTTTAGTTTCGTTTTTGGGCTGTCACAGCGGGGGGCGGAGCCGGCAGGAAATTCAAAAGTGCAAACATGACATTTACACACAATACAATGTAATCCTGCATAATCATACCGCCAAGGAGGTTAAACCCTACTGGAGCATTGTGAGACCATGTGAGATTGACTGCTACTACTTGTTACTTGTGTAGCTTACACCGTATGTAGCCATTTTTCCATCTGTTTAGCGATCAACTGTTAGCACAACTGAATAATTGCTAAGGATTTTAGCTGTATCAATGAGCTACCAAAGATCTCCTTTATTGCTCCAGTCTGATGATGTGACTTCCAGCCAGTAGATGAATCTCTCAGGAGCAAGGGAATAAAAAAAGCCAATCTACACATACACGGACAGTATATACACAGTAACTTTGATTTGCCACCATATCAGTAACATTAAGTTTGACCAGTTTTGCAGATTATGGGGTGTACAGATTATGAGTGCTACCCTATTTCTCATTTTGCTCAGGACATTACTTTATTGTGTCATTTAGTGTGGATAGCAGGAGGCTCTGGGTGTATCTAGTGGTTTGGGAACTACTGGAACAAAGCGACTTGATGGCAGGAATAATAGTCTGTGTCCAAGTGCGGGCACCCAGACCTGCACAGTTGTTACGGGAGGACAGAAGAGTATATTATGGGAGGACAGAAGAGTATATTACGGGAGGACAGAAGAGTATATAACGGGAGGACAGAAGAGTATATAACGGGAGGACAGAAGAGTATATTACGGGAGGACAGAAGGGTATATTACGGGAGGACAGAAGGGTATATTACGGGAGGACAGAAGGGTATATTACGGGAGGACAGAAGGGTATATTACGGGAGGACAGAAGGGTATATTACGGGAGGACAGAAGGGTATATTACGGGAGGACAGAAGGGTATATTACGGGAGGACAGAAGGGTATATTACGGGAGGACAGAAGAGTATATTACGGGAGGACAGAAGAGTATATTACGGGAGGACAGAAGGGTATATTACAGGAGGACAGAAGGGTATATTCTTCCGTATATTACAGGAAAACAGAAGGGTAAATTATTCCGTCTTCTCATGCAGCCTACTCGGTCTCCTGCCCCTGGCCTACAAATTAAATAGTAAACTAAGGTATAAATGGGCACTCTAAAAGGGGACAACCAATGTAAGGGGGGGGGACTCTGATAGGGACAACTAACAATTAGTTGTCCCCATCAATGTGCTCCTTTACACTGGTGTCCCCTTTTATTACCTAAATGGTGGATTGTTGTCTGGACACGGACTGAGTGACCTTCTGTCTGGGCCGCGTTCTCTGAAGGAACTAGAGCTTTCTGAAGAAGCCCATATCAATTAGAGAAGGCTATAATGTGACCATACAAACAAGACAGTACTTGATATATAATAACAACTGATGCCCAACAGTTAATCATTCAGGCTTTCTGCACAGTAAATGCCTGGGAAATTGTGCGTATCTTCTGGTCCTGGTATTATCTTGTGGACCTAACAATAAAATATACCCCGTTGACAGATCAGCATGAGGTTTCTCTTGGTACCCATCAAGCTAATATTGCTCATTGTCTTTCCTCTGGGAATACTTTGACTGTTACCAAAAAGACTCACATTAAAGTGTTATAAACATTTCCACAATGTCCACAGGCAGTGCTTGCATTTGTATATAGAGATATACACTATATTACCAAAAGTATTGGGACGCCTTTACACACACACATGAACTTTAATGGCATCCCAGTCTTAGTCCGTAGGGTTCAATATTGAGTTGGTCCACTCTTTCACGCCCTAACAGCTACAACTCTTCTGGGAAGGCGTCAACAAGGTCTAGGAGTGTGTGTATGGGAATGTTTGACCATTCTTCCAGAAGCGCATTTGAGAGATCAGGTACTGATGTTGGACGAGAAGGCCTGGCTCGCAGTCTCCGCTCTAATTCATCCCAAAGGTGTTCTACAAGTTCCTCCACCCCAAACTCGCTCATCCATGTCTTTATGGACCTTGCTTTGAGCACTGGTGCGCAGTCATGTTGGAACAGGAAGGGGCCATCCCCTAACTGTTCCCACAAAGAGCATGAAATTGTCCAAAATGTCTTGGTATGCTGATGCCTTAAGAGTTCCCTTCACTGGAACTAAGGGGCCAAGACCAACACCTGAAAAACAACCCCACACCACAATCCCCCCTCCACCAAACTTTACACTTGGCACAATGCAGTCAGGCAAGTACCGTTCTCCTGACAACCGCCAAACCCAGACACGTCCATCGGATTGCCAGACAGAGAAGCGTGATTCATCATCAGAGAACACATCTCCACTTCTCTAGAGTCCAGTGGCGGCGTGCTTTACACCACTGCATCCGACGCTTTGCATTGCACTTGGTAATGTAAGGCTTGGATGCAGCTGCTCGGCCATGGAAACCCATTCCATGATGCTCTCTACGCACTGTTGTTGTGCCAATCTGAAGGCCACACGAAGTTTGGAGGTCTGTAGCTATTGACTCTGCAGACAGGTGGCGACTTATGCACACTGTGCGCTTCACCATGCGCTGACCCCGCTCTGTCATGTTACATGGCCTACCACTTCGTGGCTGAATTTCTGTTGTTCCCAGTTGCCTCTACTTTGTTATAATACCACTAATAGTTGATCGTGGAATGTTTAGTAGCAAGGAATTTCACGGAACACCTGAACCCAATGATTTGGAGGGGTGTCCCAATACTTTTTGTAATATAGTGTATGTGGTAAACAATAAGATAAGAATAGGTCTTAGTCCTGAGTCTATATAAGACCTTATACGTTGCCACATTTCTGGCTGAAATCCTAGAACAAAATAGGCGCACCCACTGACTGGCAGACCTTGCAACGGCCTAACCCAATGATCTCTGCCAAACAAGACATCTCATTGTGGGATGCTGGGACCGTGCAAAGGATGCTGCAATGATTCAAATATAATTTATTACTGAATGACACAAGAGCAGAAGAAAACCTTACTATGCAGGTTCTAAAACACCATAAATTGTGTGCTACGATTTCTAACTAGACTTGGTATTTGCTAACAGTATTTAGCAGAAGACAACACATTGTCTCAGGATCAGGACATAAATCACATTGAGATGGGCCCATAGACACATGTTTCCGCTTAGGATGTGGAGGATGATGCTGTAGAGGTCCTGCTGGAGGACACGTAGCTTCTATCTCTTTGCTTCACTTTAATTTCTTTAAAAGTAACATTTGATTTGCTTCGGATGCCTAAGTAAATGAGAAACACAACAACGGTGAACAATGGTCACTGATACACCACTACAT